GCTTCTATTTACCTTTAATAGTTTATTCATGATCATAATATGAAAATAAATAGGGTGTAGGTGAAGTTCACGTGATAATAAATTCGTATTTTTTTATGAAAAACAGCTTTTTAATATCTGAATAATTGCTCTTTTACTTCAATAACCGTGAAGTCAGAATACAACGCTCTTTCTAGGATGTGGGTGCGGGTTTTGACACTATTTTCTACATCATTTACATTTACACCCTCCTTCATTATAAATATATAATGGACCGTTTTTTCTCGCACAAACTCTTTTATAGTTCTGCATTGTGACTGATAAACTCTAAAGAGTTCTCCAGAAATTGCAGAACCCTTCCTAGTTCAGTATCTTTCGGATAGAACACTTTATAGTTCAGTGTTTTTTTGACAGAACCCTTGAAGATTCAGCACTGTCAGGTAGAATCTCTTCGGTTCAGCATTGTTGTACAGAACTACTTTGATTTAGCATCGGTGGGCACAGAAGTTTTTATGATTCAACATTATTGGCGAGAATCTTTTTTGGTTCAGCGTTATCGGTCAAAACCTTTCGGGGGTATGACAATCATACACGCTACAAATTGGTTCTGGATATTCTAGAGAACCAAAAATAGTTCTGAAACACTTCGTTTTTTTCACAGCATATCCGCGTACAAAATTTTAACTAGTGTAATAACCAAGGAGCTATATGCAACATATACTGTTTAATACGAAAGCATATCACTATAGTTGACTAGAAGGATGAAACATTCGTATCAAGCATTAGGGAAACTGCCTCGAACGTTTGCTGTAGACAGATCAACCGAATGCCTTTCTCCTGAAGAGATTTTTCAAGTTGCTAGAACGTTTTGATTACCCCAAGTAACTATGATCTACCTACGAGTCTTTCATAGTAATCGCAGGTAGCTACGGCGTAAATACGCCGTAATTTGATCGTAATCGAACACATGGAGTTTCTGTTTGTTTTTCTTTCTGATCTGTCAGTGGACTGCTTTTATCTATGCTGAAGCTTTGTACACAAGGGCAGTTAGGATCCTAATTATGTTGACCGTGCACAATAACATTCAAATTTTTTCGACGATACCAATTCGTTTTTGTTAGCTTAAAAACCTCTGTCAATGCCACTTTCTGCATGAAATGCACAGTCCTCATGCATGCGTTTCTCTTTTACGCTTCGTTATCAGTAAAAAAAAGATCCCCTCAGATTGTGCTTGCACACAGCGAAAAGAAAAGTGGCGAGCAAATATCTATCATCGAAGTACAGCGAAGAGGTACAGATAGAAAAATTTAGTATGAGAATAAAAGTGTTTCTTTCAATTGAAAATTTCATTTTGATTTGTTTCTCGTTTACTTTAAATTCTGTTGTATCCATCAGAATTCGAGTCAGCAAATGTATGCGTGTATCGAGTAGAAAAGTAGCAATAGATCCAGTTGATCAAATTGAATTCAGTTTTAATAATTCAAAATGAGGAATGTTCAATTTTCTTCACTGAGCCACTGCAACAAGAAGACACCGAACGTTTCTTGGATACATGAGAAGCATTAGTTTCTATCACCTCGTCAATTCTTGCTTTTTACATACACGAAACAATTAGGTCATCTTATGAGGTTCCTTAGAGAGAGGATTTGTTACCGTTAACCAGTACTTTGTTGTCATTATTAGTCTTGCCGGAAACATTCATCCGTTTCTTTTTTTGTTATAATGTATCTTGACGATTTTACATGTTTTAAGGAGTTGCTTGATGAAAAATTATGCCACTCTTTGCCGAACTGCATAAGAATAACACATGAACAACTTATACGAGCTTCTATAGAAGAAATCAGTACAATCGGGAGCTTGAAATCGACATTTTCGACAAACGTTTCATTTGATGAATTCAATAATGATTGGTTTGATAGGACTATATCTAAATGACAAATAATGAAATTATGATTTTTGCTCTTCGTTTCTAGTGCCTAAATAAAAGAATAGATCACAATATTCTCAGTGATATTTTTATTTTGCTAAATGTAAGCAACTTATAAATTTTTGAATGAAAAACGTTCGCACATAATGAATCCCTTGTAAATATTATATTGCTTATCATGTTTAAATTGGGAATCTCTTCTAACTACATCGTCACAAATGTGTTAGGTCGAAATATGATGTTCGTGCAATCGTTGGTGATGTCACAAACTGTTAATCTTTGCTAAACAGCGAGTGCAATAATTGAAACGAAATATTTATTGTATTAAATGCAACAATAGTAAAGATTCAGCAATGCAACGAATACTCTAATGAACTCGTTTATCGCTTTCCTCAGCATTGCGTGGCAATTGTCTCGCTTGTGTTTTTGATAGACACCTGTGTGAGAGAAACAGAAATAAAATAAACCAGCAACATCTTGTTGGGCATAGATAAGAAAAACAGCTTGAATGATTTTTCTCCGCAGTTCCTCGGGACATGTCATTCTCGACATGAATCACATATGCGTAGAACATCGAACATGAGCAAATATTACCTGACTTTTTTTTTCTTTCTGTTCTTTTTTTTCTTTCTGTTCTTTTTTTTCTTTCTGTTCTTTTGTTTTCCTCAATAAGAAGACAATACACTTGCATTTGTCGTACGAAACCCATTTCAGTGCACAACAACAACATCAAAAGCATAGGTAATTCTTTTTTCTTAAGATGCACAAATTACATCTTTGTATTGCAATTTTATACACACTATTATCAAAGAGTGTTCCCATGTACAGTCAAAAAGAATCTACCATATTTCGCATTTTGATCCACAACAATCATACCTGAAGGTTTCGTTTCGTGTTATTTACCATTGATAAGCACGGGGAGGTAATTTTTGAAAAAAACGACCACATGTTATAATGCCTCCGCTAAAGGCAACAAATTTCACACGTCAACAGCCAGATAACACCAGCATGAATGATGCAGATAAGAGAACGACTAGAAGCTTTATAGAGCCCATCGATCTGTATTCCCGAAGTTTTTTCTTCAAGGGAAGCCTAAACCACGAGGGTACTAATCTTTCAGTTGCCGGCTATCCAAAGTGTTTCAAATCTCAAAGATCATTCACTTTATCAGTGAGGAGAGAGAATCAAACAACTCTCGAAGCTCAATTCGTACAAAAAGACATTCATTCTTATTCCAATCAATTCCAAATAAATCAAATGAAGCTGAAAATTATACCCGAACCTGCTGCTTTCAATGTTAAAGCAATTGATTATGATTTTATTGTCATTTTAAATGAACTAAAGTCACAAATGAAACCCGAAACCAGTCCTATTGATCCAATTATAAAAGATTACAATCAAGCATTTAATCTCAAATCACTCTTGTTGATTACATTCGAACTAAAACAGACTATTTTCTGTAATCGATTAAAAACCGTCGGTTAATCCGGAAACTTTCTAATCGATTCTTTTCTAATGGCTTAAAATCGGTCTTTTGTATTTAATCGGTCAGAAACACGATCTTAATTTTATTTAATCAAACATCGCCATGAAAAATCAGATATTTCTTGATTATTCTAAAATAACCTATTTTTAATCGGATGTTTTTGGACACGTTCTTTTACGTGGATTTTCAGCTTCATATAGTTATCCATTCATTAAAGTGTACGATCATTTCATTCCAACTTTGTAATTTGACGTATATGTTTGAATAGCATCGTCTTTCTTTTGAAAGACATTCCAATTTTTTAATCACCCTTTGAAATTTATTATAATTATCATTTAATTCTTTCACGGAGTCTCTTACACTGAAAAAAATCTGGATTCCTCGACGTTTTGTTATAATGTTTCCGTTTATGGAAAGTCGTGTCTGTCTATGGTGCTATTATAATCCCGCCGAAACCATCATTAATGTACTTAAAAAACAAAGATACTATACGAAACCCAAAAGAGTTCCGATGTTTGCAACCAAACCAACACCCTTTAAAGTTTCGTACGAGAAAGGATTCAGTCGGATCTTTTATTAATTGCTTAAAAAAAAAGCTTTCATCTATCAGTTTCCTTTTATGTTCCACTGAATAAGATTCCGTTTACCCGTCAATCCTCAAACATCTATTTAGCCTACCTGTATTTTTATCTGACCATTCAATCCATACTTATAAACCCGTCAATCTATTTCTAACCTCTTATTTCAATATTTAACTTCCTATATCTATCCTTAAAATCTTATATATATTCTTAGCCCTTTATATTTTTATATAACCCCTTAAATTTATCCTTGACACCTTATTCGTAAATCTTAATTCTTATATCTTCCCTATCCTTTTATATTCACAACGGAATGAGTATATCGATCATTAAGAGCTTATTCCTAAATCGAAATCCATACATCTATTATTGGTTCGTTTGTTCTTGAATCTAGCTCCTAAAGCCATACTTAATCCTTATGTCTATTCTTAAAACCTTTTTCCTATATCTAAAAAGTTCTTTTTTATGTTTCACCCATTATTCATAACCTATACCAAACAATAAAGTCCTCATTTGTGAAGCATGAAGTTTGAAAGCTGTCATTTAATATCCAAAATCGATTGTAGTGTGAATGAAAATGGATAAACGGAGCAATGATATCAGATCAGTCCACTATCTGATTGGTGAACATGTGTTCTTGATATAGATGGCATTAGGAAAAAGATTGATTTTATGCGAAATTTCTTAACTGTGAAACCTCTAGAAGGTGTTGTACGAAACTTTTTTGACTAGAAAAAATCTCTAATGGTTTTTCACGAAAATTAATTGACTACGAACCCTTAAAAAGGTTCCGTAAAGGAGGACGAAACCTCAAAAGGTCCGTAATGTACCTTGTTTTTTTCAGTGTGGTAGATATCATCTTGTTGATTTGAAAGCCGATAAAACGACAAACGATCGTTTTTCTTCAACGCAATTAATTCGTGTCAAAGTACTTGAAACTGTGAAACCACCAACATCCTATATGACATCGATAACGTCGCAAACAAAAACATTTACTCCAGTTGACTATATTCTCTCCAGCTATGATATGCGAAGCTTGTCGAAATTTTATGCACCACCAGGAAATGTAGAAAAAGCTGCATACAGTTTGTTGAGGCTCAAAAAGGGTTCACCGATTACAATTCTTACTGGTTTCTGTGTGGCAGCAAAACTTGTGAATAGTAAAATGATACCGGTAGCCGAAACAGATGGCCCTCCTGGTGCAGTACTTGCAGGTGAAACGCTTCGTAAACTTTCCTATCCTGTGACATATGTTGCTGATCCTGTCACATGTAATGTCCTTCGCGCATGTTTGAAATCAATCAAAGCCGTTGACAATTGTGTTTACGAATTTTATACACGTCATGATGAAAAGGAACAGATTGCGGAAGCGCATGGACTCATTGACCAGCTTAAGCCCAAAGCAATGATTGCTGGAGAACTCTGCAGTCGAAGTTGGTATGATGGAATCCGTCACAACATGAAGGGCGAAAATATTAACGATTGGAATCCGCCTGTTGATGAAATGCTTGTTCAATTTAAAGGTAGAGGTATTATCATCGCAGTTGGTGATGGTGGCAATGAAGCAGGCATGGCGAACTTAAAAGATAATATCCCGCTCGCATCAGATGACAAAACTATTATGGCGAGTGGGGTATACTCAGACATTCCTATTACGTCATGGAATTCAAATCTCGGTTTGCAAGCAGTTGCTTCCGTTGCTGCCGCGATAGAAGGTAAATTTGAATTCATTCCAACAGCGGATCAAGTTATCAAGACAATTGAAGCTGCTTTGGATGCAGGCGCAGTGGAAGGCGTCACTCAAGGGAAACAAGATAATTCTTTAAACGGAATTTATGCAACGCGCGGCGTGGACGGTTTTGCTCCTTATGTACATGCAGCTGATCAAGATAAACTAAAAAGTACGATAATTCAAATGAAAATAAAAGGAATGTTATAAACCAAATATTGATCGTATTTAAGAGTGTGAGCGAGTATGTGTGAATGTATGTGGGTGGGTGAGTAAAGAGACATCCATTCATTCATATCTATGCCCCATAATCTCTTAATAAAAGGAATTTCAGGCATAATTATTCTAGATTATTTCCAGTGCTAGTCATTGCGCACAAGAGAACAATGCAAGTTGAGCTATATTTTGCAAGACATACAGAGAATGATTGGTTTATATGATATTTGTGCATATTGTAGTTCGAATTTACAACTTTGAGATTTCGCATAATCAGGCGCCATGAAACAACATGAAGTACTTGCCACTTTTCTGGGATTTCAAAATCCTAAAAGGGTAAGCCGTATTCTTGAAAATGCACGAGAAGCATTGATTAAATATTTTGTTCCGAAACGTCTCGGTTTCAGCTACATCTCAAAAGAATATGTAGTCGATTATCACACGAGTCATTTGACAAAACAGATTTTGGCCAACAGTGAGGATTAAGGAAAACCAACATTCGATGACATCTATCTCTATATACATACAAAAACGTACACACAACATGCTTCAACGAAAAACTTATGGCATGCATAAAACTAAGTCATTGATAAAAACTATGACGATCGTTTCTACAAATAGCAACATAGTATCAATGCTGACTTCGTGCGTTGCGGACTATAACAACAGTGTTGCCGAAGTAACGAAAAATGTATTTTATAAAAAAATAAAGAACGTATTCTTGACTAGCCGAAACTTAACGACATATTGGTCGTAGATCGTGATTTCTGCGACGCACTGAATGATTTACACAAGTTTGGTTATAAAACAAAGGGGCGCTGTTCCCTTGGTAAAAACTAGAATCAATGTACCACGTCAGACACAAACCAAACTCTTTTCTTAACAAAAATCAGGTAGATGGTAGAATCTGTCAATGACAGAATCAAATCATGGTGTCTTTTCGACAAAGTTGTATCGAATACTATGTTGAATAATATAGGAGACTATTTTATTATAGTCTATGTGTTAATTAGTGCCTGTCGATCATTATTTACAGTCAACATTTCTAAATAAAATGCCATACCTGGTCAAATGTTGAGATTGGCAACTAAATCAAACTTTTTAAAACATATGTTGATAAACTAAAAGGTAAATTTGAAACATTCTTAACATAGACTTGATTGAACACAAAATATTTGATCAAAACTTCTCCACGTATGGCACTCAACGAATTACATGACTTGACTCTAGGAAACAACAGAATGACTTGCTAAGGATTCAAATACAAGCTCGATATAAAAGTTCTATATAGGCTATCACTCTCAAATCGCTTCAATCACTTCATACTTATTATTCGCTAGGTATCATCTAGAGGCTCTCGGAAAAACGTCTTCTTCATACCTAAATTCACTAACCGGTACACAAAATCATTCAGATCTTTCTGACGACGATGGAGATGGTAATGATGTTGATAATTTCCAAATCTTATACACTCTTACTTAAACCGAGAAATGATTATTTAAATATTAAGATGACCCATAAATAAGAAGAAAAAGGCTCATATGAAAAAAGGGAGTCATTATGCTACCATTAGTTAACTAAACGGACGATACATTCAATTTTCCACGTCATTTTTCTTTCTATCAATTCAATTGATGCACTTATTATAGTTCCGATTGAAGTGTTTTATTTGTTTGTCTTGTAACCAGTAGATTGATCATTGACTGTCAAAAAACGCATAAAAAGAAATAAAAACGGTCAAAAACACAAAAAAGAATTAAAAATAAAAAGGGTAAAACAAGTATCTCAGTGAATGACAGGTTAGGATTTTCATGTCGATTGCGATACACATTGCTCATCGCAATGGCTAACAGGCCTGTTTATCCTTTCAATCATACCTTATGCCATCGTATTTTGTGACAAATTCTGGTACCAAAAAATCGCCTGAAAAGATGAATCATGCCTCTCTATGAGATATTACTACTCTTATTAAATACTTCAATTGCTTATCGGATGCATTTAAGACCAAATCGAGTTAGAATGATTAGAGCAAACATTTTTACACATGTGGGCATATTTTAGAGGCAAACATACAATGTTTTCATATATAAATGAATCAATATATGGGAAAATGGTTGTATAGCCTATATAGCGATAAAATACTGTGTTCGTATACAAAACTGAATCCAATCGAAAAATAAATATGATATTCGTAATCAGTGCCCAAAATTGCATATAAATAATATGCTTTCAAGGCTAGTTGAGAAAAATTGTTTTCAAATCCTAAGCGGGGAATAGGAATGAAAAATTTGACTTTGAAATGGCGCAACATTAAATCATGAGAAATATTTCTAGTCACTTCTTGACATCACTCAAATATATAAACGCTAAACAATCCGGTGCGAAAAGATAGCCATCCCGCAACACTTCCTTTTATTTCTGTTGTCTTTGACTGAAAAGTAGGTTTGAAGATTCAATTTCTGAAAAATGTGATGTCTTAAAAATAATCTCTCTGTATCACGATATACAAAACAAGCAAATCGTACAGTGATTGGATGGTAACGGGATTCGTCAATAACACAGCACGATAATAAAAAATACGACCATCGTGTTGAGTAGTGATTAAAAGTCTCTGTTCGTAGGAAAACTTTATGAGATAGCGCAAATACTTATTTTGTTTATCATGGACGAATTCGATTTGATTGGAGATAAGACAGGTTGATGATCTTTGAACAGTCGTTCCGGTGCTTTGGCAAATCGATTAAAGTCATGAGGTGGCATCTCGTGGCCATTATATTTCTGAGCATAGACTTTAGCATAAATGTTCATCTGTTTGTCTCGATCGTTTACTATCTAGTAATCGAGCATAGTCAAGAATTTCTTCACCAGTTTGAAAATCGAATAAATTACGAAGTTCTTTCGATATTCGATGATGGGCAAACCAATTCTGAACACCTTCAATAGATCAAGTCTGTTAATCGAATGGACGAAAACTCACAACAGTGGAAAAAGTGACTGGATAAATAGGCCTTACTGGATCATAATGTTGTGGTGATGGTGGAAGATGTTCGACGTTTTCCGCTTTACTTGGTGCAAGAAACAATAGAACGGTGTTGAACACATCAGTCAGTTTAGTTGAATCTAGTTGAAGGAGATCTCGAAAACGAACATATTTCAAGCCGGAGATACGAATACCCAATAGAACATATTTTCATGCTTAGTATACGAACAAAGTTTTTCACTTACCGAACCATCATTTTGGAGATAAGTTTCCAAGCAAAACTGCTACTACCGATTTTTTTAGTGAATCGGTTGCATAGACAAATTCTTGACGACAGGATTTACTCTCAAAGTATTGGTCGGAAATAAGACAAACAATGACTGAAGCACGTTCCATTCCTTCGGCAATTGATTTTCATAGATCATTGGCCATCTGACAATGACTTCGATCGATCTATATCTGAAATATGTCACTGCGTGTGGCAAACAGTTCCAGTATGCGGGTACAAAACGCAACATCACTATGACAATAGCTAGTCATGATCCATGGTTTCTCAGTCGCCCTAGAATTTCGAAGATAAGGAGATTTCAACAGGCAATCATTATATTTCTCTAAGCTTTCCGGTCGATCCGATTGATGAGTACTCCCCAATTCCTGAAATTTGATGTCACTCTTATGATCCAAATTGAAATTGTATAAAATGCCACGGGCGGCTTGTAGTGCTCCTTCCATCGAGTGAGGTTTGTATTGTTCGAGCATTTCTTGTTCACTCTCATCGTGGAGAAAACCCCGAATGGTCATAATTAATTTTTCATCAAGTGCCAATTCTTGTGTATAATTCGCTTGAAACGAAATATTCCAAAGAATATTCAAGAGAGCGATCCGAGTAAATTGTTCTAAGCAATCAATTCCTTTAAAAGCATTCACATAATCCATGAATAGGGAGATAAATAGACGAATAGTTGATACCATATCCGATGATGGTTCTGTTTCAGTATAACAGAGAATATAATCTAATGTACGTTCTTCCACTATGAACATTTTCACGAAAACACCCAATGGTTCACTGACATGAAAGTCGTCACATCGAAAACGATTACCTTTCGCAGCGTCCATCACTAAATGAAGTAATTGATTGAGTGCCAAATTCATGCCTTTCTTATCCTGTTTGATTTCTTCCGGTGTCGATAGAAGTGCTAGAGTCATCGTAGCGACAAAATTCCGCGAGTCAGCTTTTCTTTCAATAAAGAAGAACAATATATTTCTGATCGTCGAATCTAGAAAACAAAAACGATTCACTTACATATTCTGATACTGTTTGATCATTTGAAGCGCTTCGAATTGATTGAGTTCATCGACGCCATCATCATAACGAGAAATATTGTGAACAATACTAATTAATGGTTGTCGATCCGTATCGTTTAGTAGTGCTGCATGTCCAAGCCATCTAACAATTGTCTTCGCCAAACCACACTTTAATACTATTGGCACTAGCACTGTTCGATCAGATAGATTCCACAGAATGGACAAGATACATTCATTAATAGTTCCTAAAGCATAATCTTTCTATATCATAGTGACTGATTGTTCAGGCATAGATTGATCGAGACGCTCAATAAATGCCGTAATTAATTCGATGTGATGGTCAATAAATTGTTGTTCTTCAGTCGTTGAGAATGGCACAAATACTGCGCTTTGAGCAACAATGAATAGGAGCTGTTGAATATGAACAAAATAAGTACGGTTTTCAGTCAACTCTTCCTTGTCTTTAGGCAATTGAACGAATTTTCTGATATGTGCTCGATTGAGTTGAGTGACGCAAGTAAAGAGGTTCTGTCGAGCAATGTTGGCATCGAGTTTTATTGAAATAAATTCGATCGTTTTTAATATTGTGGTTAGCAAACAAGTAGATTCTTCATAACAAGAATGTGCCTCATGGAGTGTGAATTGAAGAATATCAGATCAAATGGAGAGAAACTCTAGCCAGAGATTTTTCTTCGATTCTATCGTACTGTTAGGAACAGTTTTCCATTGCTTTAATCGAGCAAGAAGCTTTTCAAGTGTAGAAGTAACTGATTTATGTGATAATACTACTACAACGTCGGTCGGTTGACCCTTCTCGTCCATCAAATTTCAACGGTGAATGATGCAAATGTGACGTCACTCTGTCTTACTCCGAGCAAATAACACACTGATATAGCAACTGGATGCACGCACACTGTTGATAGGTAGCTGTAGAAAGGAGACAAAAAATCTTTTAATATCAGAAGAAGAGAATAAAAAGGAAAAAAATCGTTAAAGCATGAAATTTCAGAGCTAGTTGTTTTTTGTTATTGGTTAATAGTAAGTTTTGAATGACACTACGAACTCTTATTAGGCTTCCACAAATCTACTTATGCTCGAGATGAAAATTTTGCTAAATTTGCATGGCATGCTTCTATTGAAATAGTTTCACAATATTTGTCTGAATAGCTCGTAGACCTAAGGTAAACACTGTTTAATATCACTTAATTAACTAGAAGGCATCTCGACAAAATCTAGAGTGCGAATTAAGGTGCAAAGAACTCTTGATTTTTGATTCTTCAATTTCGCATTATTTATATATCTCGAATAATTTTATATAAGTTTGAATTGAAAAACATTTTCTCTCTGTCAATCTTCGCCCATTAAAGTTTTCTTTCCTTCGTCATCTTGTTTGAATTTGGACAAAGAGTTTTAATTCAACCAGTTAATAAAAAAACAAAAGATCTTTTCGATAAAATGCATCGATAAGAGTGTCTTGCAAAAAAAATTGAGACAAACTCGTGATCACGCACTCGATATAAGTGCTTTGTCTTAAGACAAATCAATAACTTTGAAGATTCATTGTATACTGATTGATGAAATGAAAATTTCAACGCTTAGCTTTAGAACTTTAATGTGAAAAAAAGAAAGTGTATGAAAAATGTTCCATTCCAACTATTTTCTGTTTAAGCATTTAAACACTCTCTTCACTATTTCGCTATTTGTTCTAGACTCCACTCGAAGCGACAAAAAAACGAGCCAGCATTTTGTCCGAAAACTTTCATGTCAACTGTTAAAATACGAAGAATGGTATGCATAAGCCATCTAGCGTATCATACTGTTATATATCCACCTTTTATAAATTCCATTTCATTTGTTCTTCTTTTCTTCTGAATAGGCTAGATAGGTCACGCAACTATTTATCATTATTCTTTTCTCGTTTAAACATGTCTACAAGTTATGATTTAAATTCAACGCCAAAAACAATCAATCAAAGTAAATATATTGAACCATTAATGGATTTTTCTACACCAATGAGTACAATATCAAATCGTTGCATAAGTAATACAACAATAATCAACGATAAAATCATATGTACCCATAATAATAATAATACTAATAATGAAACAATTATTGATCAACTTTTAAAAAAATTTAACGAACATAAAATTAATTTTCATAATACAAAAAATTATTTAAATTTACTTGATGGTCATTTACATGAAACAACAACAATTCTAAATCAATTAAAAAATTTCTTAGAAGAAAATTCTTCGCTAAAAACAACTACAGATCAATTAGAAACTCGTTTATTACAAATATCAATTAAACGTGAACAACTACGTACAGCAATTAATAATTTTCATCAATCACCAACAATAAATCAAACACTTGATGATATTACTCAACAAGTATACGCAAAAACTTTTCTTTTGTTTTTACGTTCAATTGAGATTTTTTTAGATTTCGCCACGTACATCAAACATAACGATTACAACAGAGCCAATGATTTATTGTACTGAACTAATTAATGCTGTAAAATTAAGTATAAATCAAAGAAAAAATATAATCGAACATTTTTATCATGAACAAAATGGTATACAACATCGAACTGGTGATTACTATTCAAAATTTAAACAACGTCAAGAATTTCTTATGCGATTAATGCAGAAAATTATTGTGCAACAAACGTTAAATGAAAAAAATATTGAAACAATAAATATTAATAAACCACAATTTGATAATCATAGAGAACAATTGGCTGAATTTAATAAACTTACTGAAGAATATCAAGCACTTCAACATGAAAATCTATTATTAAAACATAAAGCAAAAGAAAATATTCAAAAACTTTATAATTCTATTAATCAAGTTACAGAATAATTTTTTTTATCATTTGCTTATTTTAATAAACAAAAACTTATTTTACTTGAAAATCAATGTTAATTTAAAAATAATACTTTATATTTTTTTGCGGTTATAAACAAAGGTGTGAGTTGCCACCACCACAGCACAAAAATAAATACTTGATTTGTAAAACTTTCTGACGTCACAAATCAGTTTTTGAAGATACTACCGTCTGATTTCTTGTCAATATCTTTTCTACTATGTTTTTGTCTCTTTCCATACCGAAATTTTTCGAAATTAAGAATATTTTAGAGAAATTGCAGCTGACACCGCTGAACAATACATCGGCTTACACCTATAGCTGTAAAAACTCATCAGTATAATTCATAAGAAACGTGCATTGTTTACCGAAAAAGATAGAACGTCTATAATTTCGTAGGAAATTCACTCATAGTCAAAACCAAAACAATTCACTTCTTCAAGATATTATCCTTAAGTTTACAGTTTTGGTGTCTGAACAGAAGACAGAATTCTTGAATATGCTAATGTAGACACCTAATTTTTATTTAATTTTGACTTCAAAATTTAAGAGTATATCACTCGCGACTTGAATTGATAATAATTATCTAGATTATTGGGCTGACCATCTATTTAAGTCTATTATTCGGAATGGATGAAAATATTCGTTGTTTTTTTTTCGTAGAAATTTTATTTTTCATGTTTTCTTTTTGTTGTTGTTGTACAAATAAGAACATCACAAAGAGCATATCATAAGAAACTATCAACAAAAGAAAAAGAAATAATCTCGACTAGATAACGTAGAATACCAAAAAAAAAGAAATCAATCACTAAAATGGTTTTCTTTTATCACGAGGAGTTTTTGTTGGCGTCGTTTTTGCTCTACCTCGTCCACGTCCACGAGTAGCACCACGTGTTTTTGTTGATGATTGTGTTCGTTTTTGTGTTTTTTTCATTGAATTTCGATGAAAATCATCGTCATCATCATCATCATCATCATTATCCTCACTATCTTCGTTATTATTTGTCATTGAATCTGTCATCATAATTTCATCATCACTTGATTTATCTCCATTAGCTTTAAGACGTTCTTGCCGAGCCATGATTAATAAATTTTTTCGTCTTTTTATAGCCTCATCATCATCAACATTTTGTAACATTTTAAAACGTTTAAGTTCATCTTCAAGAAAAGCTACATCATCATTATGTATATTATTAGCAAGAAATTTCTAGAAAATAAAAAACTATGATTAAAAACTACAATTTTTTGTTTTTATTAAATTAAATCCTTACTTGACTTTGTTCAATTTGTGCTTCAACCATTGTACTTAATGCATACATTTCATCTTTATCAATAAATTCAGTTAATGCTGCTAACATTGATTTTTCATCAAGTAAACGTAAACGATTGCTCTAATATTAAAAAAGAAAATAATTATTTAGAAAAATACTTTTTTTTTGTTACTTCTGTTGTTGATTCAAAATATGTTTGAATAGAATCTTCAACACGTTGTGCATGTTGAAATTGTTCATTAGAAATTTTAATAGCATCAGGATCGAGTTTGATTTCGTTCGATTTTAATACATTATTTTCACGTTTTTTATATAAATTAATCATTGTTTTTGGATTAGCAACTTGATCGGAAAATTTTTGAACAAACCGAATATCATTAAATGAATCAAATAAATCAAAACCAGTATAATCAACACGAAGACGAATTAAACTATTAAACATAATTATGAAAAAAATTAAGTAAAATAAGTATTCAAAAAAAAGAAAAACAAAAAAGAATTTTTTTGTTTACGGTTTTCTTGGTTGTTTCGGATGACCACTATGTTCATTTTGAGCACGCATAAGTAATTCAGTTATCTATTTATATGAAGAAAATAAGAATTTAGTTATAAAAGATATAGATATCTTTTTGTTTTCTACTGTATCGGTTAAAAGTTTGTCGAGTTTTTGTTCAAGTTTAGTATTTGATAATGTTTTAAGTGCTTTCTCATCGATATGATCCGTTAATTGAATATCAACAAAATAAAATTGTCGAACTGTTTGTAATGGTCGTCGATGCATTTTAAATGTTTTCTTATAAACATGAAGAATGCCAGCATGTTTTTGTAATTGTTCTCCTTCACTTAAAGACGTTGCAACTGTACTACCTTTTTAAGAAATAGAAAAACAAAATGTTAATGTGCTACCAATAATTTGCACTAATTAGAAAAGAAAGAAATGCAAATCCATAGTAGTTCAACAAGTAAAAGTTAATCTTCATGAAAAATTAGATATACTAAATTTAGAATCTATAAATGTCTTGATAGGAAATAGTAATAGCCAGAAGCATTAAACTATACTCATTGAAATATCTCTATGGACGCTTTTTATCAAGCTCTATTGTATGATGATAGTTTAGCTCAGAAACAGTTGATATGATTTTAATATACACAATGTTTAGCAACAATTGGACGCTACTAAAAATAGTCGCAATGCATAATTTGTTGAAATATGGGAAACTGAAATTGTCAAACAGTTTTATTAGTAACACAAGGAAGTGATGCACAGAAGTCAAGAAAATAACTGTAAATCTATGCAAAAGTAGTAGTTGCTGGTTATTTTTGCACAAATTAGAATCGCATCAGCATTTTAATGTGAAAATCTTCAACATAATATTGCTTTACTTAAAACTCATTTTTAGACAACAGAAAATATTATCTTATAGACAACTCGATATGTTCTATAATCAAAAGCGATTGTGAAAAATATTTGTTAATCTAGAAAAGCAGCATAGTCGATAGTCCATAATCTAATCGCTTTTTGAAGAGAAAAAGATAGATCATTTGAAAACGTTCCGTCATAAGAGGCTGGTGGATGTCATGAAAAACATAAACAATTCAAAAGTTTTTACGAACGCACATATTGTCAAGAATAACATTATTGAAAGTACTTTTGCTAGCTAGAACGGTTAGAAACATGTTTAAAATGTTTAGTCAATTATATGTGAGTTATTCGCGACTAGTGTATGGTTCACATGTCAGAACTGTAACCATTTTCAGCTAAAAAAATTCTTATCAATTATAAAATTTGTTGAAGGTTTGAAAATTTAAAATCAATTTTTTTCTAAAAAGAAAATGAATTCTAATAATCTTTTCTTTTTTTCCATTATTGATGCAATGAAGAATTTTTCTAACTCAATAGAATATTAAAATCATCAAATAAAGCTAACCAGGTTGAATAACAAAAAATTTTTGTACAGTATTAAATTCTGGTGTAATTCTACAATCATGTTCATGACCCCAAATAACAATATCAAGAAATTCATGTAAAAATTGTTCTGGAATATAATTTTTTGGTCCATGTGCAACACGATTTTGATGTATAACAAATATATTAAACCAATCATCAGGATTATTTGTTGGTCGAAGTAAATTAATCTGATTTTTAAGAAATATTCTATGTAAACGTTCATCACGTATTGAACCTAAGCCATAAATAGCTATATTTGTTTCGCCTTTACGAAAAAGTAATGGATGTATATCAATATTTTCTAATGACGATAGATTTCCAAAATAATTAACTAAACCACATGAATTAAGTAAATCAAGTGGACAAAGTGGCGTTGAACCTGATGGATCATCATGATTTCTTTAAAATAAAAAAAACTATTAAATATTTTTTTCAAAACAATAAAAAAATAATATTTTATACCCATGAATAGAGAATACTGGAATACTAACATTTAAATTTGGATCTTTAAAATTTGCCCATGGAAATGGATTTGATTGAACAGTTGAAGAAAAATTAATTTTTTCATCACTTATTAATTTAAATTCAATTGTTTTATCTCCAAGACAATATTTTCGTAATAAATTAATACATTCAAGCATAACATGATTTGATGGTTTATTATCATGAAATAAATCACCACCCAGTAAAATAAAATCAACATTCTCATCACGTGCTATTTGAAGACATTCTTCAAATGCTATTAATGCATCATTTGTACGTTCATCATCTCGTTCTGCATAACCAAGATGATTGTCCGTTGTAATTAAAATTTTTAAAACATCTTCAGATGATGCTGGATTATTTTCATCGTCAAGATTTTCATTTTCACTTGAAGAACTTGATGAAATAGTTCTTGATATTGGCATGTCAAGAACGAAATCAGATATAAAATAATTGTACAAATTTATTATCAATGTTCTGTTTCTTTTCGATTATTCAATCTAAAAAAAGAAAAAAAAAATTTCATTTTCAATTGTAATAAACAATCAGACAAGTATTCCATAGATGTCGTTGTTAAAAAGTACAGTTATATATTTTTTCGATAAAAGTGTTGCTCTAAAATTGATCGATAATTATAAATTAGTATAATAACGATTGTGGGAGTACCATCTGATATATACGTATATTAATTCTACGCAAATTTCTAATAATAATGATTATTTCTCGTTCCAATGGTGCTTAGATCATGATCATGAATTTCTAACCCCGTTGAACACAGCCAGCCAGTTTTCGATCACTTCAGCTGAAGAAAAACAGTTCTGATGCATATAAGAAAATGAGTTTCCTTCTTTTTCCTTGAAATCAATTTTTACACAAAGAAAGTGAAGAATCACTACCGTTTCTACGACATAGTACGTTCGTTCGAGCTGAAACGATTTTTGTAGGTATGCCACACTGTTTGAGGTGGCCGACTTTTTTTTGTTTTAAACTTTTGATCTTTTCATTTAAACGGAAGAAGATAAAAAAAGGCCAAAAAAACAAGTAAACATCACAAAGAGTGTTTAGTATTTGTAAAAAAAAATTCTACTCAATCCCACTAATTGCGATTAAGAGAACAGGGTAATTATTAGCTTTTGCGATCAAGATATTTCTTAGAAGGAAACTTTACTGAATATTGATTCTATGAAAACTTTTGCTCTATTCATCGAGGTCTTTCTATCTTGAAACTTAAAATACTTCTGATGAACCGTTCTTCAAACACTTCGGAAAGGAGAATTTGTTTCTTTCATCTAATGTATACGGCAGTCTTCGATAGAATTGAATGTCATAATACGAATATTTCGGCAATCTTATCAATTTTTTTTTCATCCTCCGATAGGGACTTAACATGAAATCATTTTATCATAAATTATATATACAAATATTTAAGTAACATGTGTGATATGGATCTTGAGTTCTACTCACAGTATAAATTTATATCTCCATCAATTTTCTCATTTGCTTATAACGGATTTATTTGGACATATGATTGATTGAAAGAATACAAAGAATAAGCCTGTGCATAGTTTCTTCATCAACAATACGTTGCAAAACCAGAAACTGTCGAAACAATATCGAACTATTCTAAATACGTTTTTTTTTATATAAAACTCTACCACAATGGTTGGTTCTAAAAAGATGTCATCTGATATACTAAGTAATAATATATGAAAGGTATCTTCTATTCACTAATGAAAATCGTAAACGACCAGCAGATATAACTTTCAAAATATTTATTCTACAATATGATAATTTAAGATCGTTCCAAGTTCCACTCGAGAGAATATTTTAACTATTGAATGTTTCATGAAGCAAATTCTTATAAACCATTGCTAAAAATACATAACTTCTGCTACAATGCTACTTTTTGACAACCATAGACTATGGTTAGGTATGGTGCGAACTATAATAGTAAACATTTCTCTTTCACACATGTCCGTTATCATATTCTTTTGTTAACAGAAAAGAAAAAAATGTGACAAAGGAAGGAAAAAAAGAATGAAAAAAAAAAGCAAATGCAAGACAAGAAAAGAAAAAGCTGAAATGACAAAGACCCATCAAGAGTATTTGCGAATATTCTATAATGTACTCGTATTCAATAACCCGTCCTATATATATATATGTGTGTGTGAATACATGGATCTAATCAGATCTTTCAATATTGAACTGCGATTATCAAACTCTCTCAACACTTTTTCAACAAACCAATGGCATTCTTTCCAATTCATTGTTATCATCTTTTTGACGATCCATTTGATCGATTCTTTGGTGATCAATTGGATTTTTTCAATCCATGACATGATTCCAATACATTTCCACCAGCTCTTTCTATTCGACCAAATGCTTTTTGATGGATCAATGAATCATATCGATTAACACATTCATCAAATAATAAATCAAATGATGGAAAAAATCTTACACCAACATCACGATCACCAAATCCTGAAAAATATCGTGTTCAATTGAATGTAGCTGATTTCAATTCAGAAACAATTAAAACAAAAGTTAAAAGTCGAAAAGTAATTGTTGAAGCTAAAAAAGAAGATCGTGAACCAGATGGTGATTATAATATTCGAGAACTACGAAAAACATATGAATTACCTGAAAATGGTAGTAAGTAAACGAAATTTAATTTTGTTATCAAACATTTGTACTTATCAATGCCTTTTTTTTCTTATAGATTTAATACGTTTAGCTTCATATATGTAACTCCAAATAATATGCTTGTCATTGAAGTACCTATTCATAATCCAGAAACAAAATATCGTGTTGCTCAAGCAAAGACTGTTAATCAAAGTTTAGCACAATTTGGACAATATCGTGATCCTTTATTTGATTATGTTGGATTTTTGGCTGGTTCAAATTTTCAACCATGTATTGTTGATAAAGGTAATAATCAAAAACAGCTTGAAATGTCAATTGGAATGAAGAATTATCGACCAGATGAAATAAAAGTATCAGTCAAAAATAATAAATTAATTGTTCAAGGCAAACATCAACATAAAGATAAGAATCGTTCAGAACGATCTTTCTTCTTTAAATCAACAACATTACCATCTGGTACACAAATCGATCAATTACAAACAAGTTTAACTGATGATGGACAATTAAAAATTGAAGCTTCTTATATTGAACAAAAAGAAGCTACAAAATCAATTGAAAATCAGAAAAAATAAAGTCACAAATGTTTTTGTCAGAGATACAGTCATATTTTTTGCATTATATTGTATGGTTTTTGTTAAAGTCTTGTTTTTGTTTTGTTATTTATTACTAGATAAATAAAAACTAAAAGAAAAATTTAAACTATTTCTTTTCTTGGCTTAATACGGAGAACACATATTTTCGAATAAATGATGGAGTCATTTTGAAATTGTTATCTAAAATATGTTCACTTGTCGAATGGAGCATTTCACTTTTTTTGTGACGATGGTCTATTAAGTTTTTACAATCTAGCCTTGTCATTTTTTTTGTTTGTTAAAAGATACTAAAAATTGATTGTTGAATTGTTTGACTAGACTCATGTGAACTTTGTTGTATGGGAAAGATGAATAATCTACTCGTACAAGAAATATAATGAGAACAAGAAAGAAAAACGAAAATATCCAAAAAAAAAGGACATGATGAATATGTATTCAAAGAAAAGATAATAATAACGAAGCAAGTGTTGAAACATAATACTTATTGTTGTATCTAAGTTTGATAAAGCATGAAAAAAGAAGTTATTACATGGTTCAAGGACTCGAATATTAAAAACAAAACGAAATTAATAAGTTTTCTAGAAATACATATATGTAAATAGGTTTGAAAAAAAAATTAAGAAAAAAGTCAGTGTAGGTCTAGTGAAGAAAATAACAAATCAAGATAGTATATTTAAAGGTGAAAATTAGAAAAACATAATTCTTAACTAATTGAACATACACTTGTTTCATCAACACGTAGAATTTTTAAAAGTGCACGTAAAAAGTAATTTATTGTCCCGAATCGTCCACTTGGTGCTGAATCATAAAAATGTAAACAAATACCAGCTGCTGATCCACATGGATTACCACTAGCACAACATTTTGTTGCATCTCCACCTGATGCTGATTGATCGTGCAAAAATATTCCATTTGCTGTGGAAACAATATCTTCGATACTAATTATTTCATCCCAATGAAACCTATAAAAATTTTAATTAATCGAACATTAGAAAAATAAAATAACTATGACGAATATATTCATTTTACCGAGTATCACCAAGTGCAATTGATGTTAATATAACACAAGCTTCAACAATCAACTGTCGATATTCAGTAAATGGTACACGATTAAGAGCTTCTTCAACACGTAATGCAAATTTTATTTCTTCTTGAGTCATTTCTTGTGTTAAACTGTTATATAGAATATAATCAGCTATTTTAATACCTTTACACTACAACAATCAATAATAAAAAACATATTTAATATAATAAAATTGAACTTAAAACATCTTCATAAGATCAATACTGACTGGAACTCGTTGAATTCCAAATTTTGGGACCCAATTAACAAGAAAATTTCGAATTTAGACTTGGTCGTGGTTTGAAACCAACATGATGACCTCTAGTGCTGGCATATGAATGTATTAGATACTCATTAATCGGTAATTTATATTTTGTAAGAATTTAAATCGAATTATAGTTCTTATTATGATTTATATCAATAAGGATTTTAGAAATATAACAATGTCTTATATTAGTTTGTTAATATAGGAAACAGATAAGAATTCGTTTACGATAAGTAGCATATTATTTAGTAAAATTTCCAAAGCAAAGTTTTGAAACTGATTGATTATTCAACTTTATTCAAGACATGAAGTTGAAATAATAAAACATTTATTCAAATCACTGCTAAATGTATGTGATATGAATATCATCCTCCCTATAAGATTCATACATACAAAAGTCTATTGTTACATATGATTCTTTACATAACAATATTTACTTTTTCAAGGGTTTGCCAAACTTGTCCATAAAATCGAACAGGTACACGATTCAAAGCACCATCAAGACGTCGTCGACGAATCCATTGGCCATGTTTTCCAACATCATCATCATCATCTTCCGATGGATGATCACCCCAATTTAAATGAACACTTAATTTTTTTGTACTTGCTTCTTTAATTTCATTACGTATAATACGCATATCACGTTCTTGTTTAGATAAATCTGCGAATTCTGCTGCTGGTTTTGTTGAATGTTCAGTTATACCAAATTCTTTACCACTTAAAATAATATGCAATAAACATTTTATTTCATATGGACTTAAATTTAATAAATGATCTGCTGTATCTTCATCAGATGATTGTAATGTACGTTTTAATTCACCAAGCATAACTTGTATAATAAGACCTACACGTATACGTATCATACCAGCAAATAATTGTGGTTCAGTACTAATAAATGTATGTAAAAATACTAATATTTCTTGTGTTAACATAACCATTGTTGGATCATTTCCAGTGGCTGCTACTATTGTATTATATAATTGTTCAACTGTTATTGGACTTGTTAAAACATGTTCACGTGGTGCTGGTGGTAAACCAATAGTTAACTGTTTTTGTTGTGCAAGTATAGCAATTAAACTTTGTGCTATACTTTGATTTTGCATTCCTAGCATACCAGCACAATGACGTACACACCACCAAACACGTTGCTTACATGCACGATTATAAAGTTCTTGAATAAGGTCACGAACCGTTACATGATGTCCATTATGTTCAAATTCAAATTCAATACCTCTATAGAAATAATAAAATTAGTTTTTTCTATTTTAAAAATTTCGAAGAAGTTTTATTTGAAAATATTTTCGCTAGTGATAGGTCTAGATTGAAGTCTTTTTTAATATATTTATTTTAGATTTTTGTTAACAATATTTCTTTCTAAAAGTACAGAATATCAACGTTGCTCCTCAGTTGCTCTGATTTATATTTCATTTCTCAATATGTGATAACTTAATATTGATATTAATATAAATTTAAGAAGCCGAAAAAGTATTTTGGTAAAATGTCAACTATATTTTGAAAATATAAACGTAACCCAAGAGCATGGCTATACAAATATCAATATAAATACAAAAATACTTACGAGTAAACTTCCTCCGATGTCCCTCTTCGATTTCAATGGTGTTTTTCTGCCTACAGATACTACATAATGTTCTAATAAAAACCCTAAAATGATTTGTATTTTGACTAAGCTATCGAATTTTTGATCTGAAACTTTGCGCAAATAGAGAATTCAAATTTTCTTCTAAGAATAAAGAAATCTAATTTCACTCACTTATTCATACATAGATAATGTAAAATATCTGCTTGATCTTGTATAGATGCAGCATGTGGAAGAAGAGCAATAATATCATGTACTTCTTTGTCTCGTAATAAATTATCTCGTCTATTTGATGTTGATATTGTATGTTCATCAACACGTATATGATTTAAAACATTTGTATCATTTTGATCATCTTGATCATCAGCAGCATTTGAATTAAGAATATTTTGTGCTATAGTACCATCACTTGCATGATGACTATAACTATAACTACGTTTAACAGCACCACGTATTTGTGCTAACTTTTTAATTCTATATCGTTTTTGATAACGATAATCAATATTTTGATATGATAAAAAGTTTGACATTTGATTAAAATCTGAACTTGATTGTAATAATTCCATTAATTTATCTTCAGAATCTTCATCATCATCTTCACGAAAAACGAAATCAAGACTTGTAACACATGACGTATTTATAAAATCTTCTAATTTTCCCATTTGTACTCGTACACCGTTTGTATAACCAGCTTTTATTTTCTTTAATGTTTGAATAACATTTTTAGGGATTGGATCTACATCCATTAAATCTGAACGTAAAATAAATACAACAACAGGTCGTCCCGTTATATTATTCCAACTTCGATTTAAAAATGATATATAAGTACGAAAACGATCTATTATATAATCTATATCGGATGCTAAATAGAATGTATTTTGATCCATAAACTAAAACAAACAAAAATTCATAATTTTTAAACTAAAAACAAACAAACAAACAAACAGACCGATGGTGTAAATGCTAATGTTCTTCCACATATTGTATAAAGCTTTGATGTTGAAAATGGACCCATATCAAATGATGGTCGACCAGTAAGACCAAGACGTTCATTTTTACCTTAAAAGAATATAGGTATACATGAAATAAAATAATTTTTAATTGTTCGTATGAACTTCGTACCAAGATGTGCATAAATATTTTGTAGTACTTGTACTGATCGAACTTGTATTAATTCAAGATCTTTTATTTGCTGAATATGTATACTAACTGAAGCTAATTTTGATTGTATTACTTCACTATCAGTTAATACACAAACTTGAACAAAACCTTCAGGTTTTGGTTCGGTTATAAGACGTCGATTTAATGGATCAAGTTCACCAGGTGCTAAGAAACCCTTTAGAAAACAACAACATAATCATTTTGGTGAATAAAATCGATTTAATATACTTCTTTAACAAGCATAGCCAAAATAAAAAGAGATTGACCCCACATATGAGGTATTCGACCCATTGGTATTCGATTTGTACTGTGTGGATCACGTTTTTCATCTTCAACCTAAAAGAATTAAATAATATGAGTTCTTTTGAAAAAAAAAATGATCGAATGAATACTACTATCTCCCTACTTTGCTAAATATATCTAATCAAGTAGTATTGCTTTTTTTTTAAATAAAACTATTTTTAAAATACTGCTGTCTGCTATCTGTCGTATATACAGTAGTTCCAAAAATTATTCATTCCAGGTTTAAGTTCGAGGTTAAATGGAACTGAAGTTAGTTTCATTATCAGACACGACAGGATTTCTCTTGTAACAGGTGTGATCTAGCATAACTTTTACTGAAGAGACTCGTGAAGCTAACCAAAATCTGACACTAACACTGCAATGCGTTTTAATGTACGTTGAAAGTGAGAAGTTTTACGTTGCTTCCTCAGATTTTCTGGAAGAGTTCTAAAGAATGAGCAGTTGCTGGCCGAATACACTAACGACTCGCTAGATTTTCATGAGAAGTCAATCAATTTTAAAAGGATGAAACAATTTTTTTTTCTTTCTTACAAATCTTATTAGCTTGCCACCAAAGTTCAGCAAGTTGCTAATGCTCTTGGCCCGCTCAGAATAAAAAATTTGAGCTACAACATGATTTTTGCTGTATGCATTTAGTCTTTATTTACATATAAATAGTCACTTTCTATTAAAATCAAATTTGTTCTTATTCTTTCAAGAAACATAGTAGAGAAAGTTCTTTGAAATTTTAAATAACTATATTCTTACTCGATCGCTCGGTACAGCATATAATTCTGGTATAATTTGTACACCTTCTGGATCTTTAATAATACATTCTTCAAGTAAACTACAATAGAGTGCAACCTAAAACAGAAAAAAGAAAACAAAAATTTCTACAAATATTGGAATAATTTCTTTTGACTAACTTGATTGTCATTTTCATGAAATAATCCATCAAGAATTAAATAACAAAAAAATAATGGCCATTCACATTCAATTCTTTCAAATCGTTTCAATTCATGTGGATCATAATGTAATCTGGATGCATTCTTAAAATAATAAATATTAATATAAATAAAATATTTATGTAGCATACCTCAAGTGGTGTTTTATGGCCATCACGTAAAAATCTTGATAAACCATATCGACCTTGTAATTTTGATATAATACCTGTTTTGGTTTCTGTTACTAAATCAAGATCTTCAATACTAAATGCTGGATAACTAATTATACTCAATAATGATGCATCGGTTTCCTAGAAAAAAAGCAAAAACAAAGAATTTGATTCAAAATCAAATAAAATTACTGTTTTACTTTTGAAAATGATTCACGTGGTAACATTGATTTAAGTACTGAATAACACCAATAAATATAATCTGATGAAACATGTATAATTGATCGTGGACCACCATTACTACCAAATAAATCCAATTCATTCATTGCTTCTAAAGCTGCTTTAGCCATACCAACTGAACTTGAATTAAGTTCTGGATAACCATGATTTGTTTTATCACCTCTTTCCCAAATACCATAGTCCTTAATAATTAATAAGATATATATATATATATTTCTTTTTCCTTTCTATTTTAATCTTTTGAACGTACTGGAATCATATATGATTGTTCAATATAAAATACGAGATTCTGAACAAAATCAACTTCATCAAGAGTATAAACAATATGTAAGCCTATACATAAGCATAAAACAAAAAGAAATTTGTTTTTCTAGATTTTATTCATACAAACCTGATGATGTCATTTCACCAAGCATTAATAAATATAATGAGGTAGCATCTAATTGTAAATGTCCCCATTCATTATCACCTACAGCTGTATTACCTTGATTTTTGAATAAAACAAAAATTGATTATAAAAAATAACATCAAAATTTTTTCTAAATAAATTTACCCGTCACTGAAGAATATTTAGCATGTAAAGCATCATCACGACTTAATGTTAATTTAAATTTTTCAACTTTTTTTACTTGTTTCATCATACATGTCAATAAACCACGCATTGTTTTAACAACACTCTAAATTTTTTAAAAGAAAACAATAAATTTCGATGATTTGTTTCATTTTATGATTACTTGTTCTAATTCATAACATTTTGTCCAATTTTCCATTTGATCCAAATGTTTTTTATAGGATAATGATAAACCCCAAACAGCCATAATTGCATAAACATTATCACGTACCCAAGCATGGTCTGTATCTTTACCAGCAGCAAAAAGTCCTGTTAATGGATTTTGATTACATAAAATTGTTTTTGCTACTGTATGATAGTAATCATCGAGAGTCATTTCAGGTGAATCTGCTGTACGACTACGCACTCCCGCAACACTTGCTCTGCGCTGAAGTTTAGTTGACATATTTATTTTTGGTTTTTTTTTTCTTCTTCGAATTACATTCTTATAAAACGTTTCTAAAAATCAATAATAAACGATTTATTTATTAAGAACAAGACACGCATGACTCTTTTTTTTTATAGTTCGTCAGCAGATGTACGACGATTTATCCTTCTATTCTATTATCAGAAAGAAAAAGCAAGGAAAAATAATAAGATGTGAAATGAGACAAAATGAGTCAACCATAGAGAATAGAGTGGCCAATAGTGTTTAGTTACGATAGGGATCAGAATATGATGATTCGTGTACTACTAATCATCGACTTACACCACAGAATGTAAAAAAAGGTGGAAACTATTCTATTGAGATTTGAGAAAAAGAAACGCTATTAACATATCTTCTTATTAGACTGAATAAAAATTAATATTAGTTTTATTTCTTATCTGTTTTCGAAACATGAATTATTTCAAACAGAGCAGTAGCATGTGAATTCAGTAGTTTCTGAGATCTGACTGCAACTGTGATATTAATATATTAAACATTTTGACTCGCCATACAGACACCGTCATTGTTATATGATAATTGAGAAAATAATTATGTGACATACTAAAAGAAGTATATTGTATGCAAACTATCACCAGAATAATAATCAGGATAAACGAACAAAATAAAAAATAATAGCAATTACAAAAAAATCTAATTCCTATAAAATAAACATTAAAAACTGAATATCCTAGTAAGAAAACGTTTTCAACTTATCAATAGCTTTTCCATTGAAATCTAGCCTAGGCGAACAACTTGTAAGTTAGATTGTGACCAAGATACAAGGTACAGAAAAGTGAGCAGATTTTGAAAATTTAGGCACAAGACCTGTAATTAGATCTTGGATCCCAATTTACAAGATCTCCACTGAAATGTATATAGTCCAAAAACGATCACTACAATTCATGTATGAATGCCTCTAAAGACTTTTGAAATAGTCTTTCCGATGTAAAATTTGAGGCTGAATATGAATCTGAAGTCAGATTTCTTCTACAAACATAAGGAGCCACGCTGTAAATTAATGTTTTATTCAAAAGAAGTTCGAAATCGCCGCCTTCATAAACACCCTCGAATGAAGAACGTGTTTTCTTGAACAGTTCAGCACACTGGAGTTTCGAGCGGGGGCAAAAGAATCTCTAGTAAGTATTACCAGATCAAGGTCTTGGACCAGATTTTAAGATCTTAGGAAAGAAAGTCAAATTTTTATATCCTCATTACATCATATAAATCTGTATCCAAGATGTAATTACAGAGCTCGCTACGAACTAATCACATTATCTTGTACCTAAATTTACCAAGATCTATTCCATTTTCTATATCTTGTATCTTGCTCAAGATCTTGCGTACAAGATGTTTTACTAAGGTAGTGGAGTATGGATTATCAACCATACTGATTTCGAACATCACTATATGAAATTCCCTTAGGTCTTTATATGATGATTTTCTAGACAACCGGTTCTCCATACTAATTAGTTTTTTTGCTGAAATATGTTTGTAGTCTGTCTAGACAATAGAGCATATCGAATTGATTAGAGAACGGTAGATTTTCTGTTCTAAGAGAGAATCCACTAGAAAACCATGCAACGTGGCTGGAGAAAAGTTTTTGATTTTGGATTTAGCTATCGTAAAAATACAGGACTAATACAGATAGCAGCAAATTCAAATGATAAACTTGATCTGACACATTCTTGCTGAATTATGAAGCACACTGTGGTAACACCTCTCCGAGAGCTGGAAGAAACAAGTCATTTTTTATGCATTTTAATATAATACAAAGTGATTTTATTATTTCAAACATTAATATTGCAATGACTTTAGCCAAAAGAAAGAGGACCTTTTTTGTCAGATCATGTGCTTCTTGACCCTCCACATGCACCATTATGTGGAAAACCAAAGTCAATAAAGTATTTTGACTTGTGAGATATAAAATTGGAGGTTTCCCAGAAATTCGATGACACCAGAAGTTGAACCAACTTTTTTGTCTAAACAGTACGACTATACGTTTTTTTATGCTTATTCTAATATCCATTTCAAAAAAAAGAAGACTGTTGGCTATTTTTCAATTACTCGGAAACGCTTCGTGCTATTGAGTTCGGACTTTTGGTATTCGAAAGAGGCTTTCTTACTGTATCGATCCATATAAATTTGTTTAAGTTCGGTTCATAAACATGTATTCGTCCATAGTCATGTTTTAAGAGAAGTCTCTAACTCCATGAAGATATAACGAATTTTAGATTTTCTGGAAAGCACTAAAACCGTCGGTTCACAATCTACAAATCTATGAAAGGTCAAAATTTTTATCATGATTCGTTCCAAAGTTATTAGTATAATACTGANTCGAAATATCAATCACTCAAATATCTGCATGTTTCAGTTATCGAAGATACCCTAGGTCAAACAAATACTGTTGTCAATGGTTGTTTCAGATATTTTTTTGCGTCGTTTGATAGGTGCGGCAGGACGAATGTATAGTAATAGTAAACGATCGTAAATTATCGAACACTCGATCTTTAGACCTTTATCATTTATGCATGACACAATAAAATACGGTCGTAATACAGCGCCTGTCAAACCTGAATTTACAGATATTTACGATTTTAAACTGTATGAAACGATAGCATACATAGAGTACCGTTTGCGACAGCCTGGGCGATTGCAATAATCGTTCTAGAGAAGGTTTTGAGTGTATTGAAGTCCTAGATAGACCCCCTCGAAGTGATATTCTATTAGAGTTCAGCAATAAGCAAACAATTTTCAATTCTATGGATGCATTGGATAGTTTTGATTGTCGTATCGAAACATCCATCAAGTGATAGCTGGAGAAACAATGGCAAATAAATACAAAAACAAGTGTTAATACACTTGATAACAACGAAGGTAATAAAAGTAGGTCAAAAAGAAAAACGAGCAAATCTTATAGATAACAAACTAACGCATATCTATTGCATTTTTACAACATATAGAACAGGTGGTTTATGTCAATTGTCAAAGATAATTTTGTTTTCAAATACTCGTAATCATCTATTTACTATGAAGAATTTATAGAAACCAACTATCCTAATCTCTATATAGAGTCTAGTACAAGACGAAACTAAAATTGTTAATCTCTTGAGGGTTTATATGAACGTCAAAAGAAAAAATATTATTGAAATTCCATGAATCAAAATATAGTAGAATCATATTTCGAACAGTATTGATGAAACTTTTGTTAACAAGGAAAGGCTCTTCTATTTATGGACAAAAAAATCAGTGTAAATGAACTCGAAATCAGAACTAAAATATTTTTGTTTTTCAACTGAACTTATTACAAAAAACGATTAATCCCATGAATACTAAAAAACTTTGTCGAAAATCAAAACCATTGATTCTATCCGCATTCTACATTCACCGATGGATTTTATTTTATACTTCGATTTACATACTATGAGCCACAAATAACACTACGATAAAAACTTGAAATGTCTCCGTTCCGATTCATTGAAGTAATCTGATTGTGTAATTAATGATAGATGTTTATTCGAAGATTTTTTTCTCGTACGAAGAATACTACAAACCGCGAATCGGATACCCGTACTTGTATTTGGCTGCGGTTATGAAAAATATTAGCATGAGTACAAGACACACTTACGAAAACTGATGACCATGCAGTGCTTTACAACTTGAATAATGTAAACCCAAAGACAGTTATTAATGTTTGACATGTCGGATTCATTTTTTCTAAATTGAAATAAAGATAATGATGCATTTATATTTCGAACTATTCATACGAGACGAGTACGAAAAGTTCTATCCATGCCGTTCTTCACTATTACCTATTATTGTTAAAGAAATTCTGTTTGTTCTCAAATGAGAAAAATACATGATCTAACGCTTTCAGGTAATTTTCAGTTGTCACCTACGAGACTCATAGGAAGAAATCGAAACAAAGAACGGAAGATAGTTTATCCGGAAATGGGTTCTATTTGAAAATTACATCGGAAGCCATTTTCATCTTAGAATTAATGGTTTTTCCTTCAACTGTATATCACTCTCGATTCGCATGGACAATTTTCATTTATACTTCATAGTGTATCCATTGAGATAATTCATCAACCTGTCCACAGCAGAGTTCTCCGTGAAAAAAAAACACCATGCAGTGTCTATGGTTACCACCTAACTCTAATACGAAAGTGTCATTTTTCTGAAGAAGACAGAGCTGATTGAGAGTTACAAATACTATTAGAACGTGTACGAAAATATGTTCCCTCAAAATTTCTCCAAGGCCATACTGTCAAAAGCTCATGAACCAACCATAGGCTGGTCAGCTCTGTCCAAATTATCATCATTGATCATTGGACCACCATTATTTTTCAGCATGGACAGAACTAACTGAAAGCTAGAATCTACGCTACATAATATCTATCAATTCAAAATTAATTCTTTATTTACTTTATAAAAAACTATATGCGTCTATCAGAAAACACAATGTTAACATTTGCTTATAACATATCAATTCAAAAATAGGTTTAATTGAAAAAATGCAAAGAATAAGCGTATACATAGTTTCTTCATCTATTATATACGTTGCAAACTGGTAGATCTATCAAAATAGCATAAAACTATTGCATATCCTTCTTGTCGTAAACTGATTTTATGTGGTATAAATATATATGAAGTTTTTTTTCTATCAACTAATGGAAATTGTAAATGACTAGCTAATGTGATTTTCAAAACATTTATTCTACAGTTATCATTTGAATAAACATGTCAGTATGAATTTGCGTAAAATAATTACTTCAAATCACATCAAGTTCCACTAGAAAGAATATTTTAATTACTGAATCTTTCATGAAGTTAATTCTTATAAGCGACTGCTGGAAATACATAACTTCTAATACAATATTTATTTTTCGATAAAAATAAAATATTCTTACAAAATGTTCGAATTTTAATGATAAACATTGTTCTCTTTCGCACATGTCCATTATCATTGTCTCCTGGTA